CCACCCAGTCACCCCTATTTGGCTATTCATATTTTAAATCTTGTTTTTAACTAGTGATTTCTAAGTTTTGACACTTGATAATCTGAGTGTTTCTGTACAATGTGTCTGGACTTGGCTTAAGTACTGAAACCTGGTTAATGATCAGAGACATTTAGGTGGTCCTAGGTGGTACTTCTCAACCTTTGTCCACAGGACACACTTGACCCTCCTATCAGTTGTATGCAAATACCATTCATTAATTGTAGCTCCATTCGTCTTTTCATCTGGGAAGCAGAGCTTTACAGGCATTACCTTCAAACCAAAAACAAATCATTAGAAAATATTGGCACTTTCCATCAGCAACAAATTACCAGAACATCCCTCCTGACACTTCATCACACTACACTGATGCCGCATGATGCCTCATGACTCCCAGTGAAAAACACTACTCCAGTAGTTATTACAATACACTGGGAAACAAGAAACAAAAGACAAAAAATAAAGCCCCCCCCTGCCCCCCACATTGGAGAATAACCCTTGTTCGGGCAGTAACTTACTTCTCTGTGCCTCAGTTCTCCTTGCATACAAAATGAAAGCTACAAGAAATTCTCATGAAAATATTAATTGTTTAACATTATTGTTTTGAGAGTTTCAATTCAACAAAATAGGGAGGGAATCGAGTGTAGAAGGCCTTAAATGCTTGGCTGAGGAGTTGGACTTTAATGTAACAAAGATGTGTAAAGATTATTAAACAGGGTAGCAGCATTATCATCAATGTCTGTGTGTTAGGAGGAAAACTAGCAGCAGTATGTAGAATGGAGGAAAGAGATGGAAATAAGAAAAGTTAGGAGAGTATTGAAAAGGTCAAACAGATACTGAGCGTAATTGCTGTGGAAGGGAGGAGAGGGGCGAGTGGGAGATTTAAGAGATAACACAGAGGGGCACCTGGGTGGCTCAGTCGGTTAAGCATCTGATTTCGGCTCAGGTCATGATCTTATGGTCCGTGAGTTTGAGACCCGCGTCGGGCTCTGTGCTGACAGCTCAGAGCCTGGAGCCTGCTTCCGATTCTGTGTCTCCCTGTCTCTCTGACCCTCCCCCATTCATGCTCTGTCTCTCTCTGTCTCAAAAATAAATAAACATTAAAAAAAAAAAAGAGAGAGATAACACAGAAAATCAATTATAAATGTAACAATTTGTTACTAAATGGTGTGATGAGTGAGGGAGAAGAAGGAAGGATTTGTATAGGACTTTGAGGCTTCCGGTCTGAAAATTTAAAGATGCTGATGCCGTTAAGTGGCTGGAAGCACAAGGATAGCTTGGGTGTTTGAGTGTGTGCTTGTGTGTAAAGGTGACATGAGGCAAAGGTTTAGGAATAATTTGTCTCATCTTTTGGATTGGACACCCACGTGGTGCCATCCGGCTGGACAGTTAGAGTGGATTTGGAGGCACTTGTTCATACAAATGAAAGGAATACTCTTGTAACGCAAACAACTCATTTTTATAGTGCTCAACCATTAGTGCCCCAAACCCTGAGGTTATTACCTCATCAACAGTAAAAGCTTGATTACAGCTGACTGTGTGAAGGCCCTTAGTTCTCACAGTTTCTATGGGCAAAATATTAATTGCGATTAATTATCGTGTGGCATAATACAAAGACAAGATGACTTATTGTGGCTTCTGGAGAGCGCTTGCTCGGTTTTTTCACTGCAGCCCTCGGGGAAAGGGAACTGGACAGCTCCCCAGGTGGCATTGGGCTCCTTCCGGGTCAGAGCCGGCCAGCTGAGACCTGCCAGCAGCCATGTGGGTCTGGGCCTTTGGGGCCTTTCCGACTAGGGTGCTTCGACCTTGGGCGGAGGGCCCTGCCTTCCTTTTTCCTACCGCTCATGGCCCCCGGCCCTCGGCTCCAGGGCGGGGCGGAGCGGGCTGCTCCGAGGCCCCGCCCCCGCCTGCCGCCACCAGCCCCGCCCCTCCC